GGATGAAGAGAAGAAAAAGGAGGAGGAGAAACAGGAGAAGGGAAAGAAGGATGATGAGGAGAAGGAAGAGGAAGAGAAGGGTGAAGAGAAGAAAAAGGAGGAGAAGCAGGAGAAGGGAAAGAAGGATGAAGATGAGGAGAAAGAAAAGGAAGCAGATGAAGAGAAGAAAAAGGAGGAGAAACAGGAGAAGGGAAAGAAGGATGAAGATGAGGAAGAGGAAGTGGATGAAGAGAATAAAAAGGAGGAAAAACAGGAGAAGGGAAAGAAGGCTGAAGATGAGGAGAAAGAACAGGAAACAGATGAAGAGAAGAAAAGGGAGGAGAAACAGGAGAAGGGAAAGAAGGATGAAGTTGAGGAGAAAGAAATGGAAGCAGATGAAGAGAAGAAAAAGGAGGAGAAACAGGAGAAGGGAAAGAAGGATGAAGATGAGGAGAAGGAAGAGGAAGAGAAGGGTGAAGAGAAGAAAAAGGAGGAGAAGCAGGAGAACGTAAACAAGGATGAAGATGACGATCAGTATCCTCACAAAGCTGCCCCTGGGGGCAATGGATCCCCACTCCCCACTCCCCCCCTGTTCCCTGCCCCATTGAAGGTCTCCAAGCAAAAGCCAGATTCACTCAATAGTCAATAAGCATTTGCTAAGCACTCGCTGTATGCCAGGCTTTGTGCCAGGGAGTCAGGCTACAAAGACTAGAAAAAACCCTTTACTCTGAAGGAGTTTGTCACCTCTTGGAGAAGAGGCAACATGAATAAAAATATGAGGAAATATGAAATATGTACAGAGTAAGGGGTAGGGGTGGGGCCTTTGATTTCATTGGTATAGGGAACTCCCAGGTGAGGAAACGCTCTCTACCAATGCAGGCTGGCACCTTCTCTGGAACTTATAGGCTTAGAAAATTTCCTAGGGCACTGCCTGAGAGGGTCAAGCCAGTACGTGTGAGAGGCTGGACTTGAGCCCAGATTCCTCTGTCCCACTTCACACAATCGCTCCATGTACAAAAGAAATACAGAGGGAGGTCTGGAAGGACACCAGCCACTATGGGAGGGAGTGTCGGGGAGGGGCTGTCAGGCTAGGCCTCATGTAGGAAGGACATTTATTTATATTTCACTCCATTTCATCTTGTTAGTTTGGGCCCACAGTTCCAGCCTGCTGGGATAGTTTTCAGCTTTGATTCTGTCATCTAGTGGATTAGCTATTCCTCCTGGGTCCTCTCCTGATTCTCCTGCTATCTGCCGGACCACTCCTTCCCAGTCTCCCAGCTGTCCCACAACCAACTTCTTGTCATTTTTATATGGATGGTTCCCCAGGGAACCTGGGCTCTCCTCTTCTTTCTTTAAATTCTATCACTCCAATGATTTAATCTGATCCCATGATTTCAATGCTCGTCTCTACGCAGATAACTCCCAAGTCTAGCCAGGTAGCCTAATCTTTCTCTTGAACCTTAATCTTGTATTTCCAGTGACCTGCCTTTAATGCCTGCATTAAGAGGCAGCCAGTGATGTAGTGGATAGGGTGCTGGAGTCGGGAAATCCTGAGTTCAAATTTGGCCTCCAACGCTGGCTATGTAACCCTATGTTATGTAAACAAGCCACTTCACCTCTGTTTAACTCAGTTTCCTCAATTGTAAAATGGAGGAAATAATGGCACCTACCTCACAGAGTTGTGAAGATCTAACAGCTCTTAGTACAGTGCTTGGCACATACTTCAAACCCAGTGCTCTAAAATAGAACTCCTCTCCTCCCATCAGCCACACTAAAACCACTCCTCTTCCTAATGTCCGTATTTCTGTTGAATCCTTCAAGTCACCTTCCAGTCACCCAGACCTGTAACCTTTGGGTCAGCCTTGACTCTCCCCTCTCCATCACCCTTCATAACCAGTTGGTTGCCATATATTGTAAATTCTCCCTGCAAGTCATTATCTATCCCTCATCACCTCTTGACCAGCGGTGCTGTGGGTAAGAGCATTGAACTCAGATTTAGGAAGACAGGAATTCAAATCCAGCCGCAGGTGCTTATCAGCTGTGTGATTTTGGTCAAGTCACTTAAAAAAAAACTGTCTGCCTCAGTTTCCCCATCCATAAAATAGGGATAATAATGGTACCTACTGCCCACAATTATTGTGAGGTCAGATGAGTTAACAATGTAAAGTGCTTTGTAAACTTTAGAACACTACATAAATGCCAGGTGGTTTTTTTTTTCACTATGACTATTATTAATATATAATAGCCTTCTAATTGTTCTCTCTGTTTCCAATCACTCCAAACATGGGATCAGAGATGTAGGGATGGAAGGGACCTTAGAAATCATCTTAGTCCAACCCCTTCTGCAGGAGGTCTTTCCCTGCCTCCTGCCCTCTCCTCCCTCACAGTGCCACATCCCCTTGGAAATCATGGCCAATTTACCCTGGACATAGCTCATGGTCTCCCTCATTAGAAAGTAAGTTCCCTGGGCACAAGGACTGTCTTTCTGCCTTTCTTTGTATCCCTAATACTTAGCAGACAGGGCAACTAGGAGATGCAGAGAAGGGGCCACCAACCTGCACTGGTAAAGAAACCTTCTTCCCCTGGGAGTTCCCTATGCCAGCTTAATAACTACTCAGTGGTTGCTTGAATGTTCCACATTTTAATCGCTGGATATACCAGTCTTCTCATCCTGCTTAATTTCACTTTGCATCAGTTCATACAAGTCTTCCCATGTTGCTCTGAATTCTTCACATCCACCATTTCTTAGAGCTTTAAATAATTGAATGAGATTATAGAGAAAGGGCTTCCTAACCATGAAGGGATATACAAATGTCAACCATTATTAGAATTTCCTTTCCCTGTCCAGTCTAAACACAGATCTCCCAGAGTTGCTCTCCTTATCTTCAGTCTGTACTCTTCTAGTCACCTCTAAAATGTATTTACCTTGGACCTGTGCCCTAACAACTTCCATTCAGGTATTGGCCTATGGCTGTTCTTTTCTCTATATATCTTACACACAGTGATGTACTGGCGGGCTGTCTTAGGTGCCCATTGCTAGAGGGAAAGAATTCTGTCCATGAAATCTCCCCTTGTCCACTGGAGAGATACAGCAGCTGTGCACAACTAAATCACACAATAAATACTTTTTGGGAACAAAGTCCCGTGTTTCTGTGGGACCATAGGAAGTATCATTGTCTTTTACTACCTCTATTTATATAAGAAGTCCAGGATCCTGGCAGAATGGTCAGGGTTCGAAAGAAGGCTTCCTGAGTTGAACATGGCAAAGAAGTCATTGCTGCTAGGTTCTGTCCCTTTCCCCCATAACTAGCCTGGTTCTTGACAGTTTGTGCCTAACAGCAGCTGATGTGAATATTTTCACAGCATTATTGGATGTTTGAATTGAAAAGGGCAATAGAGATAAGTGTGTCTGAAGTCTCACTGTTCCATCCCTAATGTTTCCATCATTGGCCCATCATTCATTTTCTGCCCCTTAGTGTCCCCCAGGGCTCCATCCTGTCCCTTCTTGCTCTCTTTCTTGTTAACCTTGTTAGCCCCTATCAGTTAAATCAACACCTTTTTATACAACTCCAAAATTAACACGTTCCGCCTTAATGTCTTCCATTATTTCTAATCCTCCCAAACCAGCCACTACTGGGATGTCTCCACCATTGTCATTTAAAGTCAACATATCCAAAATACAGCTCAGCATCTTCCCACCTAAACCCACTCCCCTTCAAACATTTTTATTTCTTCCCCATAACCCAGGTTTACAATCTCAGAGTTCTCCTTAGCTCTTCCCTCTCCCCCTCCCTCATCTTCCATATCTCATCAGTTACCAGCTCTTGTCAACTCACCATTCCTCACACCTATTGCCTTCCCAATATTTCCCAACACTCGCATGGGCCCTCAGAACCGCTTGCTTAGACTATCTTAGTCTAAGGTCTGACCATGCCCTTCCCCAGCTGAAAAAACCTCCAGAGGCACCTGTCACCTCTAGGATAAAATACTAGCTCCCTGCTTGGCTCTCTACATTCTGATATCCATCAACTGGCCAAGATGTATTTCCCATTGGCCCCCCTCAAGCACCAGACATTCCTGCCCTATGAGCCATTCCCACCTATTTCTTTGCACTGGTCATTACACCATGCCTAGAAAGGGAAGGGAGAAGGAGAGAGGGAATGAGCATTTATTAAGCACCTACTATGTGCCAGGCACTGTGCTAAGTACTTTACAAATATTTTCTCATTTAATCCTCACAATAACCCCTGCGGGAAGGGGCCGTTACTATCCCCTTTTTATAATTGAGGGAACTAAGGCAGAGGTTGACGTGCCCCGGGTCACACAGCTAGTGAGTGTCTAGGGCTGGATTTGAACTTAGGTCATCCAAATGACATCCTTACCACCATTTCTTAGAATATTCAGCTTACTTCAAAGCACAGCTCAGCTTTCCCCTCCCAAGGGATGCCTTTCCTATTCCCCTTTAGGTACTAAGGTCCTCTCCCTCCTCAAATCATCTCATGCTTATCTGTGTACAGCAGCTGTTCCATTTTTGTCTCTGTACCCCCAGCATAGTGTTTTGTACACAGTAGTCATTTAATCAATGCATACTTAATGTTTACTGAACCTCTTCCAGGCCCAGGTGATGTGCTTTCCCTTACATTCATTTATCAATAAGCCCTATGCTCCCAGGGACTGGGTAATCTGTTGAAATTCAAGGCTTTCCCTCGAGGAGGAGGAGAGGACCAGAAGTTCAGTGAATTTGCCAAATTTTCACCACAAAAATGAAAGATCTTACTTGGAAAGCGTATACAGCAAAGGCTGAGCATGGGGCGCTTTCACAAATAGGGCTCTTGGAAAGACCCTTGTACCATCAGTCAGCAGCTGGGCCACAGGGCACCCTACAGCACTGTCATCTCCCCCGGGCCTCAGCCAAACCTAAGGGAACCTGGAGCACGTGTCACTGGGTCATTCTTAGTACGAACAACAACTGACCGTCAGATGGCATTCTGAGGCCACCGGAGCCTCCTGTATGCCCTTACCGAGGGTGGTGGGCCGGTTGGTTTTGGGCGAGGCCCGCTTCGGAGAAGACTCTGGGTGAGGGGCCACAGGCTGCACCGGCCGGGTCTGTTTGGCTGCCAACTTCTTCAGGCTCACTTGTCTCCTCTCGAACATTTCTTGCACATCTTCCAGCTTCTGAACAATCTTGTCTGCATTTTCCTGCAGGGAATGAAGCCCGTGGTGACAGAGGTTAAACAGCAAGGTCCTGAAATCCTGGGGCCATTGCAGGGCTCTGCCCAAATGTCTTCACAACAGGATGTCATGAAGCAACAGAGTGACCCTATCTGGACTTGAGGAATTCTGGACCTAGAAGAATAGGGGGAGAGGGAGACTCTGGAGAAGGCTCTGTGCTGGTTCTCAAGTCATTTCACTTGGAAGTCCTATCCCTAGCAATCTGAGTGAAAACCCCTATAGGGCAGGGACTTTTCCTTACTTTTTTTCTCTCTTATAGGCTGTATATGAAGATGGGGCTTCAGAATATATTTGATATGTATTGACAGACTGGTCAATTAGAAAAAAATGCTTTTGCCACCACCCAAAAAAACCCTCACCTTATTTTTATAGATAACATTTTATGTTCAAGTGACTATTAATAGCACAATTAATAGTAAAATCCCTAATTAAAATGTTCCCTTTGTGGCTAAAGAGATGAAATTTGGAGACAGAATGGAGAGAGTTACATAGTCATAAAATAATCTTTGTTATCATCATAAGAACTATTATTTGTAGAGTATTTTGAAGTTTACAAAGCATCCTATATACCTTATCTTGTTTGAGCCTTATAACCACTCTATAAAATAGGTACTACATATATTATTATACCCATGTTACAGATGGGTAAGCTGAGGCTCGGGGAGGTTACGCGACTTGCCCCTGCCCATCTAGGTTCGTAATCGTAGTAATTGCCACATCTAGTGATTGCTGGAGTCAAGATTTAAACGTGGGGTCTACCTGGCTTCAAATCTAACACCCTAATGTGTAATAGGGAAGGGAAGTGAATAAGCATGTAAACAGTGCCTACTATGGGCCAGGCACTTCAAAAACGTCTCATTTGATCCTCAGGACAGTTCTGGGTTGTTGCTGCTCAGCCACTTTTCAGTCACGACCAGCTCTTCGTGACCCCATTCAGGGTTTTCTTGACAAAGATACTGGAATGGTTTGCCATTTCCTTCACCTCATTTTACAGGTGAGGAAACTGAGGCAAATAGGATTAAGTGACTTGCTCAGAGTCACACAACTAGTAAGGGTCTGAGGCTACACTTGAACTCAGGTCTTCCTCATCTTCATGAGTTCAAATCTGGCCTCAGACCTTACTAGCTGTGTGATCCCTGAGCAAGTCAATTCACCCTGTTTGTCTCAGTTCCTCATCTATAAAATGAGTTGGAGGAGGAAACGGCAAACCACTCCAGTATCTTTGTCAAGAAAACCCTGAATGGGGTCACGAAGGATTGGATATGACTGAAACAACTGAACAATAAAAAAATTAATGCTCACTGACTGACCTTGAGAGATTTGAATGAAAGGATTAAGGACACGGTACACATAGCAGGTTCTTAACAAATGCTTTGCTGGGCTGAATGACAAAATGAGGGTTATTAGCTGATCTTAGAGCCTCGTCCGCTCTTAATCCTGTGACCCTGTGGGGCCATAGCACTGAACTCTGCTGTCAACTTCCAGAGTCAATCGGCAGAGACAGCTGCTGAGACAGAGTCTCCTGGGGAACCAGGGTCTTGGGGTACAGCTAAAGGTAGTATGGAGGGGTTCTGTCTGTGTATGGAGGGGAGGAGCTCTGTATTCTTGACTAGGCTTTTGATAATCACCAGATCATCCTTCCCATGTATAGGGCAGACAAGTAGGGACAATATGCTGACTCCAGGAGACCTTGAGACTTTGGATCCATAAATGGCCCAGCGAATACTGGTTAGCTTTCAGTTATCGAGCAGCCGAGGACTGCGGGAGCCTATCGGATCCCTTGGAGTGAGCGAGCCCTGCTTGTGCAGCCTCCATTAGCCTAGGTCTCTCCTCCACTGTATGTGACTGATCCTCGGCTCTGTATCTTCTCCTCTGACCAGAAGAAACCTCCCATGACAGCTAGTGGTTTTTCTATTGATAGCCCTTGAAGGCTTTCAAAACACCTCGGGTGCATGAGCTCACAGCACTCTGGGAGGCAGGAACTGCAATGACCGCTGTCAACCCCACTTTCCCAGGTGAGCAAACTGAGAAGCAACAGGATTATCAGCCAAGAGCTGGAAAGGAGTTCTGATGGTTACCTCGCCTCACACTGAAGAGGGGTGGCAGAGGAAGCACAGAGAGTTGAACTGACCTGCCCAGCCAGACATTACGGCGGAGAAGTGATGGCTTGAAGTGAGGAAGTTGTTTTGTGGTTCAATCACTTTTTCAGTCATGTCTGACTCTACATGAGCCCACAGATACTGTCCATGGTGTTTTCTTGTCAAAAATACTGGAGTAGTTTGCCATTGTCTTCTCCAGTGTGTCCCCATTGTACTGACATGAGTTCAAATCTGGCCTCAGACACTTACTACCCGGGAGACTCTTGGGCAAGTCACTTAACATCTTTGTACCTCAGTTTCCCTCTTCTGTAAATTGGGAGGAGGGGTAGACTCAATGACTTCTAGGTTCCCTTCTAGCTCTAACTCTTTGACCCTATGCTCTTCTGAGGTTCCTTTAGGGAAGTATAATCCAATAACTTTTCTGAACTCTATTTCCATCTATAAAACAAGGGCCTCAGACTAGACGGCTGCAGCCCCTTCCTCTGCTTTGTCAGTTCCTGCTGGAACCTCCGTTTTTGCGGGAGTGCCCAAGCCAGCCACGCTCACTCTTTCACTCCTCTCTGGGCTTCACTCCTGCCTCTCCAGACTTCTCTAATGTGCCCCAGCTTTTCCACTCCCTTTTATTTGTTCTCTCTCATGCTAGAATGCAAGCTCCCTTAGGGCAGGGGCTGTTTGCCTTTCTTTCTATCCCCAATGCACAGCATGGTGACTGGAGCACATTAAATGTCCCATAAATGCTTGTTGACTTCATTTGAATCTAAGGTCCCTTCTGGCTTTAAAGCTATGATCTTATGACCTCTATGAGCCTCAGTTTATCCCTCTGTAATGTAAGGACCTCTAAAGTCCCTTCCAGTTGTTGGCCCCTATCATCTTAAATCCTCGTTGGATTGGACTGGATTCTCTGCATCAGCCTCTGATTAGAAGGAAGAAGGGAGAAGTGCTAAGGCCATATTGGGCTCCTAAAAAGCTCTCAAACTTTGCCAGCAATGAGAATCAGGGCAGTGTCTGCAAGAATCTGCAATCATGTAGCTTAGTCTATGCAACTTCAGCATTTGCTTAGTACCTACTAAGGGCCAGCCACTTGCTAAGTGCTTTACAAATATTAGGTCATTTGATCCTCACAACGATTCTGGGAGGTAGGCGCTATTATGATCCCCAAATGAGATAAGACAATTTACAAGCACTTTGCCCATCTCCCCATCTCTCTTGTTCCTCTGTTTTCAGCCTTCATCTGGAGACAATCCAGCAACACTAGGCTACTTGTCCCATTTCCTCTCTCTGTGCTTTTGCAGTGGCTGGACCCCATGCCTGGAATGCTCTCCCTCCACACCTCCATCTCCTGGCTGCCTCCAAAACCCAGCTCCAATTCCACCTTCTGCAGGAGGTCCGATCGTGCGCCCCTGGATGCTAGCTCCTTCCACTTACATGCTACACGTCTCGTATGTATCCAGTTCTTTACATGTGATCTCCCCCATTAAAGCGTGAGCTCTCTGAGAGCAGGGACTGTTTCTGTCCTTTCTTGTATCCCTAGCGTGTAGCAGCTTGGTACCCAGTAAGAGCCTAATAGATGCTTGTGGACGTATTTCCCTAAAAAAAGGAATCAATGCAGTCCCTACAGTTAGTCACAGCTCAGGATCCCTGGCTCCTTTGGTGACCACAGCCGTAGGACTTCCTGGTTGGGCTGAGATAATGATTTTCAAGAGTAATAAAGGCCAAGGAAAAGAGGGACATGGTCTACAAGGACCTAACAGCTCATAAATGTGCCCTTGCTCTTGGATGTCTTGGTGTTCACTAGTATCGAGAAGTGGGAAGTAATGACTGAATTCTGAAGTCAGTGTCCCACAAGGAGATGGAGCGATATGTCACTAGGGTGGGGTCATGGAGCTTTGCCCGAGGGTGAGAAATTTAGAGTGCAGCAACAGTACCCTTCTCCCTTGGCTGCTCAGCTCCCCTTACTCCTTCTTTTCCCTACCCCAGGGGCATCAGTGGTAAGAAGTACTTCTTTCTCTTTCAGCAACATAGAAATGTCCCAGAAATGTCCTGGGGGGCGGGGGCCGGTCCAGCTTCTTCTCTGCTGGAAACCTTGTGTCATACGAGGATCAGATTTTCTATCCATCTCCTTGACCCCTCCTGCAACCTGGGCTACAGCAGTGAGCCTAGAGTCAGGAAGACTTGAGTTCAAATCCAATCTCAGACCCTTACTGGCTGCGTGATCCTGAACAAATCACGTAACCTCTGTTTGCCTCAGCTTCCTCCTCTGTGAAATGGGCACAATAGCAACTCGCTCCCAGGATTGTCGTGAGGATCAAATGAGATCATAATGATAAAGTGCCTAGTGCCTACAGCCCTACACAGCGCCCTAGCACATAGCAAGCGCTATCTAAATGTTAGCCATGATGCCACGCATGCTCCCTCAGAACCAATGTGCTGTAACTTGGTGCCTACTCTTCTACCCACGGACTGTGTATATTCGGGGGAGAGGGCCCCCTTTGATAATGGGGGATTTGCTTGGTAATCAGTTTTTGCCATGCCATTTGATTAAATGGTTTTGTGTGTGTGTGTATGAGAGAAAGAGAGACAGAGAAGAGAAAAAGAAAGGAAGAAGGAAGAAGAAAGGAAGGAGGAAGTGAGGGAAGGAAGGGAATGAGAGAAAAGGAGAAATAAGAAGAGAGGGGGGAAAAGAGAGAAAG